GGGGCGGGAGGGAGGGGAGCGTGAGGGGGAGGGAGGGAGGGAGGGAGCGTGAGGGGGAGGGGGGAGGGAGGGAGCGTGAGGGGGAGGGAGGGAGGGAGCGTGAGGGGGAGGGAGGGAGGGAGGGAGCGTGAGGGGGAGGGAGGGAGGGAGGGAGCGTGAGGGGGAGGGAGGGAGGGAGGGAGCGTGAGGGGGAGGGAGGGAGGGAGGGAGCGTGAGGGGGAGGGAGGGAGGGAGGGAGCGTGAGGGGGAGGGAGGGAGGGAGGGAGCGTGAGGGGGGAGGGAGGGGAGGGAGGGAGGGAGGGAGGGCGCGTGAGGGGGAGGGAGGGAGGGAGGGGAGCGTGAGGGGGAGGGAGGGAGGGAGGGAGGGAGGGAAGGTGAGAGGGAAGGAGCGTGAGGGGGGAGGGAGGGAGGGAGGGAGCGTGAGGGGGGAGGGAGGGAAGGAGCGTGAGGTGGAGGGAGGGAGCGTGAGGGGGAGGGAGGGAGGGGAGGGAGCGTGAGGGGGAGGGAGGGAGAGCGTGAGGGGGGAGGGAGGGAGGGAGCGTGAGGGAGGGTGAGGGGGGTCGGGAGGGAGGATGAGGGGGAGGGGTCGGGAGGGAGGGTGAGGGAGTGAGGGGGGGAGGCAGGGAGGGTGAGGGGGGGAGGGGGAGGGGAGGGTGAGGGTGAGGGGGGCGGGAGGGGAGAGTGAGGGAAGGAGGGTGAGGGAGGGAAGGAGGGTGAGGGAGGGAAGGAGGGTGAGGGTGAGGGGGGCGGGAGGGGAGAGTGAGGGAAGGAGGGTGCGGGAGGGAAGGAGGGTGAGTGAGGGAAGGAGGGTGAGGGAGGGAAGGAGGGTGAGGGAGGGAAGGAGGGTGAGGGAGGGAAGGAGGGTGAGGGTGAGGGGGGCGGGAGGGGAGAGTGAGGGAAGGAGGGTGAGGGAGGGAAGGAGGGTGAGGGAGGGGAGGGAGAGTGAGGGGTCGGGAGGGTGAGGGGGAGGGAGGGGAGGGGGGAGGGGAGGGAGGGTGAGGGGTCGGGAGGGGGGGAGGGGTTAGGGAGGGGGAGGGAGGGTTAGGGAGGGGAGGGAGGGTGAGGGGTCGGGAGGGGAAGGAGGGTGAGGGAGGGAGGGAGCGTGAGGGGGAGGGAGAGAGGGAGGGAGCGTGAGGGAGGGAGCGTGAGGGGGAGGGAGAGGTAGGAGGGAGGGAGGGAGGGAGCGTGAGGGGGAGGGAGCGTGAGGGGGAGGGAGCGTGAGGGGGAGGGAGCGTGCGGGGGGAGGAGAGCGTGAGGGGGAGGGAGCGTGAGGGGGAGGGAGCGTGAGGGGGAGGGAGGGTAGCGTGAGGGGGGAGGGAGCGTGAGGGGGGAGGGAGCGTGAGGGGAGGGAGCGTGAGGGGGAGGGAGCGTGAGGGGGAGGGAGCGTGAGGGGGAGGGAGCGTGAGGGGGAGGGAGCTTGAGGGGGAGGGAGGGAGCGTGAGGGGGAGGGAGGGAGGGAGGGAGGGAGGGAGGGAGCGAGGGAGGGAGCGTGAGGGGGAGGGAGGGAGGGAGGGAGGGAGGGAGCGAGGGAGGGAGCGAGGGAGGGAGCGAGGGAGGGAGGGAGGGAGGGAGCGAGCGTGAGGGGGAGGGAGGGAGGAAGGGAGGGAGGGAGGGAGCGTGAGGGGAGGGAGGGGAGCGTGAGGGGAGGGAGGGAAGGAGGGAGGTAGGGAGCGTGAGGGGGAGGGAGGGAGCGTGAGGGGAAGGGAGGGAGGGAGGGAGCGTGAGGAGGGAGGGAGGGAGGGAAGGAGCGTGAGGAGGGAGGGAGGGAGCGTGAGGAGGAGGGAGGGAGCGTGAGGGGGAGGGAGGGAGGGAGCGAGGGAGGGAGCGAGGGAGGGAGCGTGAGGGGGAGGGAGGGAGGGAGCGAGGGAGGGAGCGTGAGGGGGGAGGGAGGGAGGGAGCGTGAGGGGGGGGGGAGGGAGGGAGGGAGGGAGGGAGGTGAGCGTGAGGGGATGGAGGGAGGGAGGGAGGGAGCGTGAGGGGGGGGAGGGAGGGAGGGAGGGAGGGAGCGTGAGGGGGAGGGAGGGAAGGAACGTGAGGGGGGGAGGGAGGGAGGGAGGGAGCGTGAGGGGGATGGAGGGAGGGAGGGAGCGTGAGGGAGAGGGAGGGAGGGAGGGAGCGTGAGGGAGGAGGGAGGGAGGGAAGGAGGGAGGGAGGGAGCGTGAGGGAGGGAGAGGGAGGGAGGGAGGGAGGGAGCGTGAGGGAGAGGGAGGGAGAGGAGAGGGGGGGGGGAGGGAGCGTGAGGGGGAGGGAGGGAGCGTGAGGGGGAGGGAGGGAGCGTGAGGGGGGGAGGGAGAAGGGAGGGAGGGAGGGGGAGGGAGGAAGGGAGGGAGGGAGGGAGCGTGAGGGGGAGGGAGAGGGAGGGTGAGGGGTCGGGGAGGGAGGGTGAGGGGTCGGGGATGGAGGGAGGGTGTACGAACCAAAATCTTTGTCCGAGCATGAAGCCATGAAGTTAGCGCCATCTGTGAGTCGCCAGCCGAAAACCCCACAACATGGACAACGCCATCTAATGAGGACGGATATACCGGCCACAGGTGCTGGATTCCCGTCTTAATCACCTCATAATGTAGCCGCTGCTGACCTCTGGTGAGGGGCGCCTAGACAGTGAACGCCATCTATGGAGCAAATAGGTGGACGTTTCTGTCTAAGCTAGTAAGTGATGTTTCCTAGTGGCCCCAGGTAGTATCCCCAGTATTAATGACGTATCTGATTGCAGAGTCGACCTGGGACTGCTGTATTAGACGATGGATCAGTCTACCCAAGGCAGCCAAGGTCTCTTCACCAGTCTGCTTTGAGAAGCTGTGAGTCACCCGGACGAACTCTGTTGAGAGTATTAGCCTGCCTGTGGCGTGGCAGTGTCGGGAATCGCCTTATCCGGGGTTGGCTGGTGGAAGAGACCACCCACTGGGGTGCTGTATGAGGAGAGTGACCAGAGAGTCACACGAGGCTCCTGGCTAGGGCACGCAACCCTAGTATCGGTCGTGGAGTGGCCTACACAGCGGAGCTGATCGGTACCTGCCAGATACAGGCTGGATTGTGGTGAAGGCCTCCACGACGAAGCACCCAGTTGGACTGTGATTGGCTGGCCTGTGGCCAGAGTAGATTCGTCATAGTCATAGTGGATTCATCGTGGGCCACGGAAGAAGGAACCAGGGCTACCCAGAGTGAGCATCGTTGAGCATAAGAACATAAGAACAAAGGCAACTGCAGAAGGCCTATTGGCCCATTCGAGACAGCTCCTATTCTATAACCACCCAATCCCACTCATACTTGTCCAACCCGCGCTTGAAACAATCGAGGGACCCCACCTCCAGCACGTTACGCGGTAATTGGTTCCACAAATCAAAAACCCTGTTACTGAACCAGTATTTACCCAAGTCTTTCCTAAATCTAAACTTATCCAATTATACCCATTGTTTCGTGTTCTGTCTTGTGTTGATACTTTAATACCCTATTAATATCCCCCGGTTATGTCCATTCACCCACTTGTAAACCTCTATCATGTCACCCCTAACTCTTCGCCTTTCCAGTGAATGCAACTTAAGCTTTGTTAATCTTTCTTCATATGAAAGATTTCTAATTTGGGGAATTAACTTAGTCATCCTACGTTGGAGACGTTCAAGTGAATTTATATCCATTCTATAATATGGCGACCAAAAGTGAACTGCATAATCTAAATTTGGCCTAACTAGAGCAAGATATAGCTTGAGAACCACACTAGGTGTCTTGTTACTAACGCTGCGATTAATAAATCCAAGTGTCCGATTTGCCTTATTACGAAAATTTATGCATTAATCCTTTGTTTTAAATTCTTACTAATCATAACTCCCTGATCCCTTTCGCAATCCGACTACGCAATCTCAACACCATCTAGCTCTTATCTTGTAACTATAATCATTACCTAACCTCAGAACTTTACATTTATTAGCATTAAACTGCATCTGCCAATCCTTTGACCATTTCAAAACCCTATCTAGATCAACTTGAAGTGATAGTGAATCCTCCTCCGAATTAATTTCCCTACGATTTTCGTATCATCGGCAAATTTGCAAATGTTGCTACTCAAACCTGAATCTAAATCATTTGTATATATTATAGACAACAGAGGTCCCAGGACAGAGCCTTGAGGAACTCCACTTACATTTTCCCACTCTGACTTGATTCCATTTATACTAACTCTGTTTCCTTTGGTATAGCCATGCCCTAATCCAGCTTGATATAGCACCCCCAATACCATGAGACTATCTTTTTAATCAGTCTTTCATGTGGCACTGTATCAAAAGCTTTGTCAAAGTCAAGGGGAGCGAGGGAGGGAGCGAGGGAGGGAGCGAGGGAGGGAGGGAGGGAGGGAGCGAGCGTGAGGGGGAGGGAGGGAGGAAGGGAGGGAGGGAGGGAGCGTGAGGGGAGGGAGGGAGCGTGAGGGGGAGGGAGGGAAGGAGGGAGGTAGGGAGCGTGAGGGGGAGGGAGGGAGCGTGAGGGGAAGGGAGGGAGGGAGGGAGCGTGAGGAGGGAGGGAGGGAGGGAAGGAGCGTGAGGAGGGAGGGAGGGAGCGTGAGGAGGAGGGAGGGAGCGGGAGGGGGAGGGAGGGAGGGGAGCGAGGGAGGGAGCGGGAGGGAGGGAGGGAGCGTGAGGGGGAGGGAGGGAGGGAGCGAGGGAGGGAGCGTGGGGGGGAGGGAGGGCGAGGGAGCGTGAGGGGGGGGGGAGGGAGGGAGGGGAGGGAGGGAGCGTGAGGGGGATGGAGGGAGGGAGGGAGGGAGCGTGGGGGGGGGGGGGAGGGAGGGAGGGAGGGAGCGTGAGGGGGGAGGGAGGGAAGGAACGTGAGGGGGGGAGGGAGGGAGGGAGGGAGCGTGAGGGGGATGGAGGGAGGGAGGGAGCGTGAGGGGGAGGGAGGGAGGGAGGGCGAGGGGTCGTGAGGGAGGGAGGAGGGAGGGAAGGGGGAGGGAGGGAGCGTGAGGGAGGGAGAGGGAGGGAGGGAGAGGGAGGGAGCGTGAGGGAGAGGGAGGGAGAGGGAGGGGGGGGGGGGGGAGCGTGAGGGAGGGGGAGGGAGCGTGAGGGGGAGGGAGGGAGCGTGAGGGGGAGGGAGGAAGGGAGGGAGGGAGGGGGAGGGAGGAAGGGAGGGAGGGAGGGAGCGTGAGGGGGAGGGAGAGGGAGGGTGAGGGGTCGGGGAGGGAGGGTGAGGGGTCGGGGATGGAGGGAGGGTGTTACGAACCAAAATCTTTGTCCGAGCATGAAGCCATGAAGTTAGCGCCATCTGTGAGTCGCCAGCCGAAAACCCCACAACATGGACAACGCCATCTAATGAGGACGGGATATACCGGCCACAGGTGCTGGATTCCCGTCTTAATCACCTCATAATGTAGCCGCTGCTGACCTCTGGTGAGGTGGCGCCTAGACAGTGAACGCCATCTATGGAGCAAATAGGTGGACGTTTCTGTCTAAGCTAGTAAGTGATGTTTCCTAGTGGCCCCAGGTAGTATCCCCAGTATTAATGACGTATCTGATTGCAGAGTCGACCTGGGACTGCTGTATTAGACGATGGATCAGTCTACCCAAGGCAGCCAAGGTCTCTTCACCAGTCTGCTTTGAGAAGCTGTGAGTCACCCCCGGACGAACTCTGTTGAGAGTATTAGCCTGCCTGTGGCGTGGCAGTGTCGGGAATCGCCTTATCCGGGGTTGGCTGGTGGAAGAGACCACCCACTGGGGTGCTGTATGAGGAGAGTGACCAGAGAGTCACACGAGGCTCCTGGCTAGGGCACGCAACCCTAGTATCGGTCGTGGAGTGGCCTACACAGCGGAGCTGATCGGTACCTGCCAGATACAGGCTGGATTGTGGTTGAAGGCCTCCACGACGAAGCACCCAGTTGGACTGTGATTTGGCTGGCCTGTGGCCAGAGTAGATTCGTCATAGTCATAGTGGATTCATCGTGGGCCACGGAAGAAGGAACCAGGGCTACCCAGAGTGAGCATCGTTGAGCATAAGAACATAAGAACAAAGGCAACTGCAGAAGGCCTATTGGCCCATTCGAGACAGCTCCTATTTATAACCACCCAATCCCACTCATACTTGTCCAACCCGCGCTTGAAACAATCGAGGGACCCCACCTCCAGCACGTTACGCGGTAATTGGTTCCACAAATCAACAACCCTGTTACTGAACCAGTATTTACCCAAGTCTTTCCTAAATCTAAACTTATCCAATTTATACCCATTGTTTCGTGTTCTGTCTTGTGTTGATACTTTTAATACCCTATTAATATCCCCCCGGTTATGTCCATTCACCCACTTGTAAACCTCTATCATGTCACCCCTAACTCTTCGCCTTTCCAGTGAATGCAACTTAAGCTTTGTTAATCTTTCTTCATATGAAAGATTTCTAATTTGGGGAATTAACTTAGTCATCCTACGTTGGAGACGTTCAAGTGAATTTATATCCATTCTATAATATGGCGACCAAAAGTGAACTGCATAATCTAAATTTGGCCTAACTAGAGCAAGATATAGCTTGAGAACCACACTAGGTGTCTTGTTACTAACGCTGCGATTAATAAATCCAAGTGTCCGATTTGCCTTATTACGAAAATTTATGCATTAATCCTTTTGTTTTAAATTCTTACTAATCATAACTCCCTGATCCCTTTCGCAATCCGACTACGCAATCTCAACACCATCTAGCTCTTATCTTGTAACTATAATCATTACCTAACCTCAGAACTTTACATTTATTAGCATTAAACTGCATCTGCCAATCCTTTGACCATTTCAAAACCCTATCTAGATCAACTTGAAGTGATAGTGAATCCTCCTCCGAATTAATTTCCCTACCGATTTTCGTATCATCGGCAAATTTGCAAATGTTGCTACTCAAACCTGAATCTAAATCATTTGTATATATTATAGACAACAGAGGTCCCAGGACAGAGCCTTGAGGAACTCCACTTACATTTTCCCACTCTGACTTGATTCCATTTATACTAACTCTGTTTCCTTTGGTATAGCCATGCCCTAATCCAGCTTGATATAGCACCCCCAATACCATGAGACTATCTTTTTAATCAGTCTTTCATGTGGCACTGTATCAAAAGCTTTGTCAAAGTCAAGGTACACAACATCACAATCCTTACCACTATCAACTGCCTCAACTATGCTAGAATAAAAAGATAGGGGTGTGTCATCCAGTGTCTTCGGAGGAAGACGCAACTGTACATAAGTAATAATAATCCCCGCGTGCGACTTATTTATTTATATATGGTGGTGGTAAATATATCAGAAAAACTGGAACATTTGTATCCCTTCCCCTTTAATTTAACTTGCGTTATGGAACACACCCCTTGAAAGCCTCTACTAACTTGGGGCCGGATTCCCAAACTCTACTATCAGAGAAGAACCCAGAAGAAGGTTGCGTCCCAGTAGGGCCATAACATAATTGGCATCCCCAGCGGGATCCGACCCCTTGTCAAGTATGTTTGACAGGGGTGGCGACGTAATGCAATCCCCTGTAAATAATTCCCCAGTTTATAATTATTAGGACGTTATTCGTCCTGTTCAGAGCAGTGTGAACACGTGCAGTGTTGGCGAGTGCGGTGCTCGGTGTGATTACGTGCAAAATTGGCGAAGTACAGTGCTCGGTGTGTTAAGTGCTCGTGCACCACTTAAGTGACAATGGCGGAAAAAGTGACCCTTGAAGATCTGGAGGATGTTCAAGACTTTCTGAACAAGGAGGACTGTCTTGCCAGATTGAAATATCTGGGAAAGCAAGAACTGGTGCTAGTGAACGCATATCTGGAGATCAAAATACGTGAAAGTGATACCCGTGTTGAGATCTTGTCCAAGGTTCACAAACATTTGAAGTCTGGGGAGAAACAGGAAAGCGAGGCACAGAGTACAAAAGAAAGTGAGGTGGTAGCTTCCACTGAAAAGGAAGATAAAGGTAGTGACATTGAAAGTGATGTAGGTGAACTGAATATAAGCTTTGTCAAAATGCGTGCCTTAGAAATAAATCGTGAGAGAATGGAAGAAATTAGAAATAGAACGAGAATTGAAAGATAAAGAAATGGAAATGAAGCGTTTAGAATTAGAAGAGAATGAAAAAGAAAGACAAGAAAGGAACGAAGAGCGAAAATGAGAAGAAAGAAGAGAGAACGAGATGAGCGAGAAAGAGAAGAGAAACGAGAGAGAGAGAAGAGCGAGAAAGAGAAGAAAGGGAAAAAGAAAGGCAAGAACGACGAGACAGAGGAAAAGGAAAGACAACACGAGTTAGAAGTATTGCGGTTAGGCGGTCAGAGGAAAACAACGGAATCGAGTGGTTTCGATCCGGTAAGGAACATCAAAATGGTCCCAAAATTCAACGAGAAGGAAGTGTCGAAGTTCTTCGCAGCCTCGAGAAAGTTGCAGCCTCTCTGGATTGGCCAAAGGAGAATTGGGCCATCATGACACAGTCCGTCTTGACTGGGAAGGCCCAAATTGCCTACTCCACGTTGTCCCTTGATGACTCCAGTAATTACGACAAGGTGAAGAAGGTGGTGCTCATGGCTTACCAATTGGTGCCTGAGGCTTACAGGCAGAAGTTCAGGAACCTGAAAAAGACCTCGGAGCACACGTTCACCGAGTTTGCGACCATCAAGGAACGGCTTTTTCAGGAGTGGTGTGCTTCTCGGAAGGTGGAGACCAAAGAAGACCTCGAGCAGCTCATACTGTTAGAGGACTTCAAAGACTGCCTAGCAGGGGATCTAAAGACATACTTAGAGGAACAACAGGTAGAGACCTTAAGTGCAGCAGCCACTATGGCTGAAGAATACATCTTGACACATAGGCCTTCTGCTAGGTATGTCCCGAAGATCTATTCAAGATATTCAGCCAAACATAAACCGGAGGATAAGACCGCCCCTCGTAGTGCCGCCAAGTCAACCCCAGATAGTCCTAGGAGGGTTAGTCCAAAAAGGGACATAATGTGTTGGACCTGTGGAAAGAAAGGACATATCGCTGCTAGGTGTCGTAGCAGTGCGGGTAACAATCCACGTAGGGAAGTTATGCAGGTAAATAGTATAGTACCACCGACGGCCACCCTAGAAAAGAGGAAAGAATTGTTCGCCCCATATACTTCCCAAGGGTATGTATCAAGTGACCACTCGGGTAAGCCTGTGGTAGTACTCAGAGACAGTGGAGCGGCCCAGTCTCTGATTTTGGAAAAGTCATTACCCGAAGGTTATCAGCAAATGGGACGCAGAAGGTAATCCTGGGTGGTTTCCCTTCCACATTGTACGTTGCCCCTTTGATAAAGGTGCGTCTAGAGTCCCAACACTTCAAAGGTGAGTGTCAGTTGGCTGTGGTGGACAGTCTTCCCATAGAAGGGATTGACGTTATTTTGGCCAATGACTTAGCCCTAGGTTTGTTACCTAACTATTCCTTGGTCATGGAAGATCCAGTGTGTGAAGAGACAAGTCCAATTGCGGCGGTATAAACAAGGTCTCGGGCTCAATTCCAGGTACCACCAGATTTAAATACTTTGTTTGACTCTCCTCCTATCCCACAGGTTACGAGTAGCCATACACCAGACCCGCCCGTCCCGATGCCAGTTCCTGAATGCTGGACTCGAGCCAGTCTGCTAGAAGAGCAGAGGAAGGACCTTCAGGTACAGAAGTTGGCTAGCACCATAGACTCTCCTACGAAAGGAGGTGATCTGTACGTATGGTCGAATGAAGTACTGTGTCGCAGGCATCCTCCGAAATACCCCCAGTCAACTGAGGTAGGTAAGCAGATAGTCGTCCCAGCCGTGTTCCGATCTAAGCTGTTAGAAACGGCTCATGCCGATAGATTTGCTGGACATGGTGGGGTTTCGAAAACCTTTCACCGACTAGCCAAGTGTTTCTACTGGCCGCACATGAAGAAGGACGTACGTCGCTTCTGCAAAACCTGCCATGCCTGCCAGATGGCAGGGAAAGCAAACCAGCCTGTCCCCAAAGCTCCTTTATGCCCCATTCCATCCATAGGTGAGCCCTTCGAGCACCTCATCCTGGATATAGTAGGCCCGCTTCCGCCTTCTACATCAGGGATGCAGT